TGTTTTCTGTCAGTGTTATAATGAATTTATTTAAAAGATGAGGATAGGATTGTTGAAATACTTGTTCTTGATTAAGGTCGTCTTATGAACAAAAGATCCTGGATATCTAATCAGTGCTCAAAATTCTCTGTAAAATCCTCTGGCATCGATAGTAGGACTCCACCCTTCTTCCCTCTCTCAAATGGGGCTCAGAATACTGCAACTAGTTAGAAATTCTGTACAGGCACCGTTGTTGGCTGTCATTTCTGATGATGCGTTGAGAAATGGTGGGTTTGGTTAAAGAAATCCCGTCAGTCGTCTGGAACCTGACTTTGCCAAACCGTGTAATGGAAGAAAGGAAAAGTTCTTTACGCATGTGTGTTTTTAATTCTCACACAGTCCGTAGGCATAAAGTGCCTAGATGAATGGGTATTTGTTCTCAGTTAAAATCTTCTGATAACTGTGTTTGTATATCAGCTTGTACAGTTGTTCTGAAGTTAGATGTTCAAGGAGAGGAAGAAAGAGAGCTGCTTAGTAATAGGGAACTGCTTCTACCCACGTTGTGTTCTTACAGATTATTGGAAGAAAAGCGATGTGCATTACACGTACTGCACAAGCAGAACATGTTAGGTGATAAAGGTGTCTGAGAGTAGCTATAACATTGCAAAGCTGTGCCCCTGTAACTTGTTTACGTAGCTGTGCAGAATGATTAATTAGTATTAGTGCAGAATACTGATATGCATATGAGGCAAGCTCTGGACAGATGCTGGAATTGAGCAAAGCACAGCATTTAGTTTTCTTAGGCTGGATGATGATTCTGTATTTTTGGGGAAATCAATTTGCTGGAGATGGAAAAAGTGGTTCGTTTTGCTTTTGAGTGTGTACTTGTTCTTAGCTCTTTCCCGCCCACCCCTTCCCTGACCCAAGGGGAAAAGGAAGATTTGTTTGAAATTGTGGTACTTACAGTCAAACTTAAAAGAAAAAAAAAAAGGGGTGGTAGTTTCTTTTCAGGTATCTGTCTACCCTGTAAGGATCAAAAGGTGGTCCGTTTCTCTCTCCTTCCCTACCTGTACACATGTTTTCTTTTCCCTTTTTAAAGCCTGTTAACATCTTGCCTTTTTTTAATGTGCTTTGATCACTAGTCAGGAAGTACTTTGAAATGAGAGGACTGTATTTGCACCCTGCTCTGCGTTACACATGACAGAGGGTAAAAGATTTATGCTGTGTAAACTTGTTATATATTTGACAGCAGCGTGGACTTACTGAGGCTTTTTTCCTTAGATAAAGCGTAGCAGGGAGGGGTGACAGTGTAGGTGGATTCCTGTCTCTTAGGCTGCTGCTTCTGGCTTGCGCAGTAGGGAGATTTGGAGACTTAGTTTTGAGCGTTCTCTTGTGATGAAGAGAAATAGGAGTTAGCTGGAATGGGATGTGCTTGCTTAGCTACTGTCAGATGTTACATCGGATTTTTTTTAAAATCACGTGGTCACTTGCTGGGTTTTACCAAAGTGTAATCCATTTAAATGGCATGAGATCAGGCAGAAGGGGATATAGCTTTGAAAAATGACATTTGATACGCCACAAACGGTCTGACCTCTCTTGTGTGCTTTCTTGACAGTCGTGTTAGGCCCGGTGTAAATTAGAATGTTAATGGTTAAGAAGTTTCCCTCCCCAACCATGTGCACTTGGAGGGGTGTTTGTTTTCTTGTCAAGTGTTACTCTACAGGTGTAAATAGAACAGAGTTTGGGACAGGTCAGTACTGCTAGGGAAGAAGTGTTGGCAGTGTCAGTGTTGCAGAGCGGAGCATGTTGCAGTGATGCCAATACCAGCTTGAGAACTGGGAACAAGTTTTAGGTCTGCCTTGAGAGCCAGAGCTTACTTGTAGCACTTCATTAATAGGGACCACATAGCTATTGATGTCCCACTCAGCACACCCGTGTTCCCGTTAGCCCGGATTGGATCTCTGCATCCAGATTATACACGCCGTAGCTTCGTAATAGAAACGCGTGGTGATTTTGCAGCAGTACAGTTGAAATGCTGTAGTAGAGCATGCCCTGAAGGAGAGCTTTGTGGAGTAGTGTGAAGTAGGCGGTTCCATGAAAATGAGTATGTCCCAAACTGGAGATCTGACAGAAAAGAGATAGAGAATGTGGGAATGACAACTTGAAGGGGAGTAAAAGAAATATTTGCATATTAATGAAAATAGAATGAACCAAAACCTTGGAAAGGATTGGGTAAATTGTCCTTTCACAGTCACTTAGGTGGATGTCCGTAAAGGGTAGGATGGTCTGTTACATGAAGCCTGTCTGGTTAATCAGTAGACACTTCAAAGCATTGTCAAGTGTAGCTGGATGCAACTGAATGTAATGCTTTGGTCAGGAAAGAAACTGATAATGGTTAACTTACCTCTTGGTTTCAGCCATCAGCTGGATACTTCTCTTCCAGTACTTGAGCAGATGCTTGTGTACTTGGGATTTGTGTACTGTATGTGGGTTTCACTGTGTGTTGAGTTTTAATGTAACAAACTTACATTACGACTGGGAGAAAAGTAGGGAGAAGAGAAAAATCCACATGGGAAAACTTGGTGTCTGGCTCAGTTGGTTCTCTTCAGTGCTTTGAGCTTATATGTTGGAGTGGGCAAGGTACTAGAGTTAGGCTAATGTTTCCAAAACCTATGGACTTGATGGACCAATGGGCCTGTAAGACCATCATATGTTCCTGATATGCTGAGTGGGGTCGACACCTGCTTGAAGTGTTTAATGAATTATGTTCTGTTTGCAAAAGTACTTAATGTTCTCTGATGAAGGATAATGAAGGATAATAAAATAACACTTAGCTCTCCTTATACTAGAAGTGGTTTCTTATGTGCAAGATTGGGATTTTTTGATGCGTAATGCATTGTGCAGTAAGTTAATTCCAATAAGACCCTTTCTTATTCTTTCTTATGGAGCAAGGCAGTGCTTGCAGGCAGAATACCAGACGTGATAGACAGCTGGGCTGGCTTGCTGTGTCTAATTCTGTGTTTCTACAATAGAAACGGCCTCCGCATTTTAAAAGCTGAATGTTGATTCTGGCTGTTCAGGCAAAGTAATTTGAATGTGTTGATTCTTTTTTGTGTCCTGTTTTTTTAAATCTGGATTTGATCGTGCTTCTCTGGATAACTGAATCGGCTGAACAGCTGGCAATGTACATGACTCAATGTTTTTTCTGCAAAAAAATCTCCCCCTTTTTTTTTTCAGCAGCTTAGGAGAAGACAAAGTTAGGGGAAGAGGTGTATTTTTACATCCTTTAAGATGATAAAGTAGCTGGAAGAAGAGCCAGATTTCTATGACCAGCCAACTTTCTCCAGATTAACAGATATCTGTATTAAAATAAAATTCAGTGATAAGTATTTACCTTCTTCCTTGAATAACCCTGGTTTCTCCTTTCATGCTTTTTGGCACAGAATGAATAAAACTGTAGGTATTTCGTGAACCTAAAAGTCACTATAAATTGTAGGATAAGTCATGAGCAGCTTCCACAGAGAATGAAAGCAAATCATCAAGTTTGTGTAAACTACATCACTTTTATCATTCAGTGCAAAGAAACAAATTGTGATTGTCCCATAAATGAGGAGCATCATATATGAATATATACATGAGTGGCCATACGTACGACATGACTTTTAGGTGCTGCTTTCACACGGAGTGTTTGATGGCAAATCCGCTTGGGTTTATGGTTTCAAAGGGGTGGGAGGGAGTCCTGTCATTTGGAATTACTTGGCTGTATAGCACGTATGTACTGCAGGGTCGGTGGCTGAGAGCATCAGTGTTCCCAACTAAGTAGCTGCTGGGGCTAATGGGTTTTGTTCTGTCTGTCAACTTAGAGCTGACTGAAGGGAGGGGGAGCGGGGCAGGGGCAGGATATTAACCAAAAGGATTTTATTGTCATCTCTGAACATGGTAAGTAGAAATGTTTTGCCCATGTTTGGCAGTTTTAAGACCATATTTTATTTTTAGAATAGCTGCTTTGAGGAGAGTTCCGGTGCAATACAGAGATAATCCCTTCAGAGGTACTAGGCGAGCGCTTCTGGGGCCTGAGCTGCTCCCTACAGGCTGTGGCAGCTCCAGCTGGCCTGTCCGGCACCCTGGCAGAGGGGAGATGGGAGAGTGGCCTGCCTCTAGTCTGCTCGTCTGAGACTTGCAGTGCGCATGGGCAGCCTGGAGAAAGCACTGAATTACCCAATGTACGGCACCATGTGGGCCATTCTACTTAGGGTGGTGTTTCCCTGGTCAGCTTTACTACCCATGGGAATTTCCCATAGCTGGCCCTTAGCTTGGCTCACTGGGCTTCCCCTGGAAAGGCCGGTGTGTATTTGAGACTTGTGTAACTTATTCTTAGTGTCCTGAGTTATCAGGTAAACTAGACTTAAATTATTATTCATAACTGCTATTAGAATGTGTTTGAAACAGGAGCTTGCTTTTAAAATAAATGTAAAACTTTCAATAGGTATGTTTTGAGGGTTCTTTTTTGTTGGCCTCTTCAGTTTTGGTGACAATCTGCCATTTTATTGTTTGGGTACAAATTACTCAAATACTTACTTGAAATTTGCATATTTGACAAGCCTGCTTTGTGTTTTGGTGGTTGGTTGGGGTTTTTTTAGGTAATGTCTTGATAAATAGTCTCACAAGCTGCCTCAGTTGGTTCTGTGCTAAGTCAAGTGAGAGAAGTTAAAGAGGATGCTGTAAATAACATTTACCTTTTCTCCAGCATGAAGCATGCTGCTTTTGATTGTCTCTCCCCTCATCTTTGCTCCTCTGTGATTGTCTTTGTGGTGGGATGAGAAGCTTTAGGTGTGTCTTCTCTGTGCCTCTCCATCTGGGAGTCAGCAGTCGGATCACTCTCAGCACTGTTGTTTTGATCTTGCAGACTTAGGTTGCCCTTCATAGAACGGTTTGGGTTGGAAGGGGCCCTAAAGATCACCTAGTTCCAACTCCCCTGCCATGGGGGTTTTGGGTCAACTGCTGTGTTGTGGGCAACCCCCATGGTTGAGACGTGCCATTGCCCTTCCAAGGAAGAGCATGCAGTACAGAGGGGTAGGTTCACTGTGGGTTTATAGGAAGGATTGTATTAATTGTTATCATGGACTCTCTTCTCAAGTGCTGAACCCTTTTTTTTTTTTTACTTCGTTAACAGTAAAAGATAATTACTTTTAAAAGGTTTTCTGTGTTAGGCATCTGGTAAGTAACTCCACTACTTGTATGGCATTCTGATTCTCTGTTTCAACCAGGCTGTGTCATCTCCCACCTGCGGTATGTTCAGCCTTTGGTCGCTTGCTTTTACTGACTTCATTAAATTGGTATTAAAACTTAACACTGCTTACGTTTTGTAAGTGCATATAGTGTTTTGGTGGTTTTTAATTGCAGTCTGTGATAACGTTTTGTTTTTAAAGAAATAATTTTAGCAAAGCTGATGTTGCTAACTGATTTTCTGGTTCCAGGAAAAAGAATGAGCATCTTTCTGCTTGCCTCCATTGAGGCTAGAGTTTCATTCTTCATGTACCATTTCCATTCTTTACCAATAATTTCAAGCACGAGTATGTACGTTTCTCAGTGAAGCACTATTTTCACTGTACCTTCGGATTAAAATATTTTAAAGCGGCTTGTTTGACCTCTAGTGTTCAGCTGTGAAATTGCACCCCATTGACACAAAAATATCTTGCGTTTCAGAAAAACCGGTCTCCCCAAAATCAGGTACATTGAAGAGTCCACCTAAAGGCTTTGATACGTCTGCAATTAACAAAAGCTATTACAATGTGGTGAGTGATCCTTTTTTCCTCCGTGTGAGCTGTTGTGTGCAGTAGAACGTCATTTAACTGAATGCTCTTACCAGCATAAAGATGTGGCAGTCGCGTCAGACCCTTGGTGCCAGAGCTAGGTAGGGGTTTTGGTGAATTCTCTTGTAACCAAGATGATTATTAGTTGAATATCACACATGGATTCTTAAGGGTGATGCAAAGTTATAGTCTAAAGTAAGTGAATAATAGGCATTTCTGTAATGTATTACACTCACTTTACTTGCTTTGCTAGTTGTTAAATTCCCTGTTCTCCCCTGTCCCCAAATATGCAGTCAGTCTCCCCCAGTCTTTATGAGTGGATGAAATTCTGCTGTGTTAAAATGGTTAAGAATGTTTTTTGTCCTTTTTGTTGAACACAAGGTTGAATTCTTGTCTGCCTTTAGTATTCGTGCTTATGAATCAACTCAGTTACTTCGGGAACTTCTCCCTCACGCTGATGGACAGATGTCACAGCAAAAGCAGCATAGCCAGTCAGCCTTTAACGCGCCCCCAGCAGTTCTGAACCTAGTGCTCAGACCCCGTAGTTAGATGCACGTAAGAAACATACCAAACTGTCTTTTAAACATGTGGTTGTAACGGTTTTGAGAATCCTTTATTAACAGTAGATAAACCGGGAAGCAAAAAGCGACTGTTTTTGTTAACCACTGCTCCCTGCTGGTGTGAAATCAAAACACAGGGTTTCTTTCCCTTTTCTTTGAAGCAGCTGTGGTTATTTATTTTTCATTTTATTTGTCAGTTCTGAGCAGGGATCATAAAGCATCAGTTTATGCTTTCATCTTTGGCCGTTGTGGCAGGAATAACACCAACCAGCTGGAAGAACAGAGTGTTTTGCATAGAGGCCCCTGATTGAAAACAATGAAGCCACCTCCTGCTCCTCCCCCTCTCTTGCCTGGTGCCTCTCCTGGTAACCCTAATTCCATGCTAAAGGGAGGGCTGCCATTCTTTGGCTGTTGTATTCCACACCTGCTAGTCATGGTGGAAAGTAGCTGTGCAGGCACACCTTCCTTCAAGCTGCAGGAAGTAATGATCTTACTGTGGTGCGTCAGCAACACAATAATAGTTTTCTTTTTTGTTTTATTACAGTAAAGAGAAACAGTAATTTTTTCCCAAAGTTGCTGTAGTGTGTAGCAGCAAATGTCTTCCCTACTGTTGTTTTTGTGTTAAAACCTATGTTTTGCAATACAAGTAAACAACTGAATGCAGTGAAGGGAGGGTTCAGTTCCTTCACTAGGCAGAAGACTGCTCTTGCTTAAGTTTAATCCATATCTGTGTTGAATTTTTAATCAATATAAATTCACAACTGTCTTGAACACCAGTCCTTTTGGCTTATTTTTTTTAAAGTCAGTGGTGAATACATGCCTTGTATTTAATGTCGTATTATGATTTCTGTGATGGATCTTAATATAATGAAAAGTTAGAGTTGCAGCTGTTTCATTTGGGCTTAACTAAAACCCCAGTTTGACTGTGTCCAAAATGAATTGAATCTTGTGGTTGCATATTTTTGCATTGTAAGAGTAGTAGAAGTCATTTCTTTGGGGTGATGGTGTACTTCAGTGAGGATAATGGGAAATAAATGTTTGAATTTGCCTGGAGCCATAGTGAAGTTTTAAAAGGCCAAACATCACCTTTGGCTTGTGTACTTTCGATAACTGTTCCCCTGGATAACCTATTACCGTAATCATGGAGACTGCGACTGCTGCATACTTTGGGAAACAGAGCCATAGCTGGCTTTTTGAAGGAGTTTAATTAAAAAATTGAAACTGGTGTTCATTATACCTACTCTTGGAATGAAGTTATTTTTTGTCTTACTCAGGAGCAGCTTTCTTGGCACGCTAAACTGATGTCATAAGACTCGCACTGTTTTGACTGCTAGCTAATTATTAGCTGTTGATGATACATTACATTGGGGAGGGAGGGGCAGAAATGGCCAGCTCATAATAATGTCTAGAGTAAATTAACACACTCTACTTTTAGAGTGCTTTTCTTAATTCTGTCTACAGTGAACTGAGTAACTGTCTTTTTCATGTTTTTCCAGAGTGTGGCAAATACTCCCACTTTTTTTTTTTAAGCTCACCACTTTACTGCTCAAAGAATGAGAGGGTGTGCCGTGGTGCACGCTGTTTCCGAGAACTAAGACTCAACTACTGTGCTTAAACCTAAATTAGACTAGCTGATATCTAGAATTTTTTTTAATGATGAATGCTGGGTGCTTCTGATGTCAATATAACTAAAATAATTAATTTTAATAACTAAATGTGTAGTGATGTTTACAAACCCATTCACTGAAGTGAAAGCAGTTTAACTTGTGAGTTGGTTTTGGTCAGTCTTAATTTCAGCTGCAGGCATGGCACTTCCCTGTGCTAGAAGCCTTATCGGTCTGCACTGATAACAAAATTGAGTCCATACTAAGGTGAAAACAAAACAGCTCCAAATAAACCTCTGGCAGGTGGAAGCTAAAAGGCTGTAGCCAGAGTTAGATAGAGTAAGCATTAAAATCTGTGTTAAAGGCCTTTGACAACCAAGCTTGATTTGAGGCTGGTACTCTGGGACCGCTTGCTGGTTTTATGCTGTGGCTGCCTTCCACTGTAGGGGTGTGTGCTGAGACCCTGTACACCTCATGTTGTTTACTGCTGTTTTTCCTAGGGAAGGCTTTGTGCAGCTGCAGGCAGCACCTGTGGGTGCGTTCGTCGCACTGAGGACAGAATCAAAGGGCAGTTCAGAGCAAGTTCAGAACGTGGTAGGAGAGGCTCAGCCAATCTCCCTTTCTGAGAGAAGGACTGGGATGGGCCAAGGGGGGAAAGGTGCTTAATGTAAAGAGGAGACTGCTGTCACCGCTCTCCTCCATTCTTCAAGCCCTTGTAAATGCGTCGTCTGTGTTTATGGATTCACAGAGCTCCATCTGAAGTTCATAGCACAAATCATATACCTTCTAGTCTGTGTGCTTTATTAGCTGCACCTTGCACTAGGTGTTGCTGAGAAGATGGAGAACGCTTGGTTTTTGCTTACATTTTGCCTGGCTCAGGAATGGAGGTTAGTAGGGAATGATTAGCGCTACAAGGTCTTGTCCTCCATAAAGTGGTACGAGTCTATAGTAGGGTGTAATATGAGCCAGACTCATGATCAAGCACGAAGCATTTTTCATGTAGAAGTAATTTAGTAACCTGTTACTGAAGAAGTGGGCACATGATTGCAGGTTATTCCCTGGAGACAGAGCAGGCATTACTGAGTTTTATTTTTACTTGTTAACCCTTGAGAATTTAAAACTTTGTGTCCAAAAGAAAATCAGGTTATCACTGCTTACGGGACAGTTGCCTTGAGATTAAGTAGCTGTTTGAAAAGCAAAGAAATGGGCAACTTTCTGCATAATGTGAGCGTTTGGATGACCTCATTTTTCATTTTGGTGTTAGAAAAACGATGGAAAACAAGTACTCCTTTTGAGGCCACGCTTCTGGAGTTGGGTCAAGAGTTTGAATTTACTGAACTTCATAAAAGTTTTTAAGGAGCCTTGAGCTACACGGTATACTTGTGTGGTGCTTTACATTGCTCCTCTCGAGGGCCTGTTTTAAGGGGTTCGTCTGTCGGATTCTCCTGATTCAGGACAATTGGATACTGTTCACCATGTTGCTGAAGTATGTGATACTTCAGTTGAGTGCCATACTATTCCCATAAAATGGGAATGTGCTACAGGATCATGCCTCAGCATAGCTGTGAAATCTGCCTTTTCTCCCTCTGATTTGGAAAGCGATCGGCTTCATGTAGAGGTCACTTAAAATCCATTTTTGGGTAGTAGTTTTTGCCTCAGGGAGGATAGCTGGAGGTTTGTGCGACAGAATTATTAACAGTGTTTGAATTTTCCATGCCGTGTGATTGAGGGAGCTGGTGCTGCCTGAGCTCGGTTGTCTGTGCCTGCCATTCATCAGCGTTGCAGGCTGCAGAAGCTGCCACTTCAATGCTGCTCTTTTGGTACCCGCTCTTGGCTGTGCAAATGTTGTGGTGGCGTTGTGGAAACAAGGTCTTCGAGGTCTCATGGGGTCTTGCAGCAGCCAGAATGTGCAGAAAGCAGGAAAGGGAAGAAAGGTGATTATTAGAGCATGCGGGAGAGATGCGGGGATGAGGAATGTTAAGGGTGCTCTGGTGCCAAATTCCTGAGTTGCAATACTGACTACTCATCGCATCAAGGCACAGCCCAGGCATTGAATCCTTAGCTTCTCAGTCAGGTAGGTAAGTCGAGCTGGAAGGATGGGAGAGTTCACAGAACTGCTGTCTTAAAGCTGCGTAAGCAAGATTATTCTTTAAAAAAGAGATATTCAAAGTAGAAGAATGTTGCATGCAGTGAAAGCTGTACTTTTTTCTTTAAAAAAAGAGGGGAGGAATAGATTTAATGTGTTTTGGGAAGGGTTTATGTATATGTCTAAAATACTGTGTAACACTCTGAACTACCTGAATAGCACTAAACAGCATAAGTGTATCTAGTACTCTGCATAGGTTTTGTAGCATAGTTTTGTTTACCACTGTGTTTATTTTCCTTTCTCCAGTAGTTTTATCAGGTTGCTTATTCTAGTTTATAAGCTTTCCTATTCTCTCTTCCCCTTTAAATAAGTTTGTTGGTTTGTTTTTTTTTTTCCTACCTTATTCTCTGTATTGCAAAGAAAGAAAAATCCAAACCAGCAAAAGAAAGTAATGGACTTGTGTCAGACATGAAACCAGTTTTATTTCAAGCTTTTCAAACAGCTGTTTATAGCCAAGAATGGAAATACTCTCCGAGAAGGTGGAGCAGCGATGCAGCCTTTCCAGATCTCTAGCAAATTTGTTGATTTTTATCTTTGAATGCCTTTTAATGCTGTTCAGTGTTTCATGGGGGCACTGTGTTTCTGTACTTGGCTTTCAGTCTCCTTTTCCCTTCTAGTGACTGTGCAATGACTTCGAGCTGGGAGATTTTTGTAGGAAAAGCCATATTGAAAAAGATTGGGCTTGCATTTAGTTTTCGACCTCATAGCTCTTAAGTACTTCTACATTTCCATTTTAACAGTTGACTCTTTTGATTTATGTATGTGTAAGAGAACGTGGGGTTTAAGTAATAACTATGATAAATGGAAACTTTCTTTTTTTTTCTGGTCTAAGTGGTCAAAAAAACAGCTTAAAAAAAAAAGTGTACTCACGTTGTGCTTTATGCTGTAGTTTCCTAGTTAGTAGCTAGAACTTTCCTGTGACATTCTTCTGTCATAGTGTTTAGCAGAGAATGGAGACATTTTAATCTTCAGTTCAGGATTCAGATTTCCAACAAAAGAATGAACTCAAAAGTGGCATCTCTCTCTTTTTCTCCCCCAATGAATAGAAGCATTCAAGGAATAAGCAGAATCAATGACACCAATGAAAGGAACAGTGAATTCTTCATTGACATACTGAACTATTTAAAGTTATTTCATCAGGTTTGCATTTAGGAATGAATGGCTTTTTTTTTTACTTCCTAAGAAAGCGTATTGACTACAACAGTGAATAATGCACTCAATTACAGTTGTTACTATAAATGCTGAAATGAGATATTACTGTAGGCTTGACAAATATGGCATGTAGCAGAATGAGAAGGTTTGTGGTGTGGCTTATGACCAGTGAATAGCAAAAAAGTTTTCAAAGCCCTGTGTTGACTGAACTACATTTAGTTCTCATGATTCTCTTGCTAAGTCATTAACTTCTTGGAGGCAAAAAAATAACTTGCCTGCTACAAGCACAGTAGAACTTGATGTGAATATATTGGAGGATATTCTAAAGCAGACTCCCTGGAGATGGCCCAGTAAAATGCTTTCTTGTACATATTTGGGAGTGTTCCAGTTGTTTGATTTATATTCAGCCAAAAAACAAGTGTGCGCTGAATTTTTTTCAACTCTTGGCTTTACATCAGAATCTGTTTAATTTTCTCATGGTAGTGTATATTATTGTACTTTTGGCTGAAAGTAAGTCAGCCCCATTTATAAAGAATGCAAGAATGCTAATCATATTGCTAAGTAAGGTTGACTATTACTTGATATTTATAAATAGGTTAATATGCAGAGCACATTGGACTAAGTAAACACTTTCCTAGCAAGATTAGCTGTCGTGTGTTGTAATTGACACAGAGAAAACAATGCTAATTGTTCCTTTCTCTTGCAACTTCTAATGTGCTTTACCACCCTTTAATGATCTTTGATTGTTTTGAAGTACCTAGGAGGAGTAATTACTCCTAGCTTTGGAAGAACACTCTGTATAGCTCTCAAATTTTACAGTGGAAGTTTTAAGTGCAGTGAAACTCCTGCTAGTTTACCACTTCTTTTGTATAAGGCTAAAGGGATGGCTTACTGTGTGTGGGGTTTTTTCTCTGAATTTTATAAGTGTATAGTATGTAACGCTTTATTGCTGGTATTTCTTTTTTTTTAATGCAGGAACATTCATTTAAATTTCAAAGTGCTAAGTAAATGTTTGTATGTTTTCAAAATGCTCAAATCAATACCAGTTTTAATTGTATCTTAAAAAAAAAAAACAATTAGCAACTGTCATTTATTGTAGGTGCTACAAAATATATTAGAAACGGAAAATGAATATGCTAAGGAGCTACAAACAATGCTTTCAAACTACCTGCGACCATTACAAGCCAGTGAAAAGTATGTGAGTTTGGTTTTTGGTGTTTTAAAATTAAGCTTAAGATCTAACATGTATTGGGGAGGGTTTATGTGGTCAGAACTTCAACGTCCATGTTAATGTGCATTTTCTTGTGTGGACTGCGAGAGCCTCAAGGTAGGGCTTCCTCTTACTCAGTTTGCTCACTAAGGCAATCTAGCCCTTCATCTAAGAACCAGTAAGCGTTTTCTTTCAAGGTTGTAGGTTTTATTAAAACACAATTAGTCAATAACTGCAAACCTAAACACCTTTTATTTACTTTGGCTCCAGGTTAAACTCCACCAATACTTCATACTTAATGGGAAACCTGGAAGAAATAAGTTCTTTCCAGCAAATGCTTGTACAGTCTTTAGAAGAATGCACCAAGTAAGTACTATGCATACCAGATGCTGTACAACTCTAACAAGCAAATCTTTGGTTTATGATTTTAGTTGTTGTGTATGCTGATGTTGTTTTTTTGTTTGAGTTTGTTTGTGTTCCTCTCACTTTAAGGATGGTTGTGGCAATACAGTAATAGATGTTTGGATGATGCATCAGTTGCTTGTGCAAATGGATATTGGTCCTAGGATGCAGTTGCAGAGGTAGGAATTTTGGTGTCGTTTGGAAACAATTTATGAATTTCCATGATGCAAGTGCATACCAGTGAGGAAGTGGTAGAGGAACTGGTTTTGTTTTGTCTTGAGGACATGAATATTAGGTCTTAAGACAGTGTGACAAAGAATGAAGGGAGGTTGTGATGGAACAGTGGAGGAGAGGGAAAGTGGCTTGGATGAAGAACACTGTGTGAGAATGCTTGTACTTAGTATCCTTGTCCTGAACAGTGCTGGCTGTAAAAATGTGCTGGGAGACACATGTAGAAAAGGCAGAAAGAACAATCTGAATTAAAAAAAAAAACCAGCATCAACACCTGTACAGTACTGTATAGGAAGCATGAAGCACAGAAAGAAGGGGATGAAGACACCTTTCCTCCTTCCATAGGTTAGCTTGAAGTGGTAGCTGGATATTTTTTGCCTTGGACCTCAGCAAGAAGGAAGCACAAAGGTGACCATATTACACATGAATTGTCCTAATGATTTTTGGTGTTGAAACTTGACTGAAAGTGTAGTTCCTCCTGTTTCATTTGTCCTCTTCCTTGCCTGTGTTCTAGTTTTGTCTGTCCACATGATGAGCTAAGGCAACTTGCTGATCCAAATTTGCTTATTTTCTGCCAAGATAGTAATTTGAATTGCTACTGAGGGCTTAGACAAGTTTCAGTCTGCTTGGGAGTACTTGGCTGTGAGAAGGAATGAATGTCTTGGACAGAGGAGAAAATACCTCTTTTGGCAGCAGTGATCTTAGATCAGCTCAGTGTGTTTTGTTTTGGCCTCTCCCTCCTGTTTCCCTTGGAGCTGCTCTGTGTGAAGAGGAAGCTTTGTCATGACAAAATATAAACTACATCTCCACTAGGAGGTAACGAACGTCTGGGTCTGCTGAATCTGGATCCCACATCCTCCTACCATCTGGCTTCTCTCCCTCTTGTCTGCCTCTAGTTGACTTAGACTGCAGAAGAACGGAAAGGAGGATGGTGTAGTTTAGATGGCCGTTCAGGAGTGGAATGGAAACTTTCCTGAAATGGCCGTTCTTCCACGCTGTGTGTGAGAAAGAAGCATGTTCTGGCAAGTTAGGCTTGATCAGTTAAGTGTCTGAATCCCTGAGAAGGACTGCTTGTCCACATACTTAAATCTTCTTCCCTTTTCTTGTCATTGCACTGCTTTGTCTCAGTCTTTTGTTACCATGATTTGATTCCTGTGTGTCGGAACTTAGGGAAATGAAGTATCTTGCATGAACAGGCTGTCGTCTTTTAAAACATGCGAATAAGGTGCTCTTAAGAGTGGGGGAGCATATACCTTCAAATAAATATTAATGCAAGCTTTGTTTTAGCTTGGTGTATAGGTTGATGTGATACCATAATGTAGCTTCAAACTCAGAAAGCTTATTTAGAATTCCCTCCTTGATTTAAACTCTTACTAGAGCACCTTCTCATACTGACCTTTATTTCTTTAAGGTCTCTTCCAACCCAAACCACTCTATGGTTGTTCTTCCTGCTAAGTACTGTGTTGCTGTGTAATAAATTAGGAGCATAATGGATGCTAGTAGGTGGGCAGAGGAAGTGAGGCCCCAGGGTTGCTGAAGGGTTACTGCAAATGTTTTGTATTATTTTAGTTTCATAAATGTGCTGGTCATGCCAAGTTGTATTTTCAGTTTAATTTTCATCGTAGCATATTGACTTGAGCATCCAGCTTCCTCCTGTTTTTTGAATATAATCCATCATAATTCCCATCATGTAAAAGAATGCTTGCCCTGCTGCCTTGTTCTTTGTCATTTTGCCATGTTTTTTTGGCTGGTAAACCTGTTCTGTAAAATCAGAGTAGCTCCTGGGCTGAAAATAGGTTTATCATTTTACTTTATTTTTGGCAGAGAGCTTATAGTTCCATCATTCAGGTATTTCATGTTGTAGCATCCGGTGTGGTGTTTTTGTCTAACTTGACATGTTGGAGTGACCCAAATGCCAACGCCTTGCCAGTTCTAGTGCCACCAGCCTACGTTGCTTGACAAATTCCTCTTCTTGGGTGTGAGATGTGAACTTTAAATTCCATACCCCAGTCGAGTCAGTTTGTCCTTTGAGTATTCTCTTAACAAATCCTGGCATGTACTTCAGTGACACAATTTTCTGGTGGTGTTTTCTCTTGCCTGCACCATGTTGGCTTATTTACTTCTTAGGATGGTAAACATTGTGGTGGTTGGGCTTTTTTGTGGTTTTTTTTTTTTTCCCCCATAATATATAACCCTGTAGTGGGCTTCTTGTGTGTTTTGGAGGAAGAGGTTGTTTGGGTATGGTTTGGTTTTAGTTGTGCCACCCTCCCACCCCAGTCCCAACCTCAGGGCTCTTCTGGTGCGTGGCTAAAAGTTTGTCCTTTTTGAACTTGTCCGGGTTGGCCCCTGCTGCAGCATCACTGTGGCACTCCTGTGGTCCTCTGCATCTGTTGCAGGCCTGGGAATGCTTCTTGTCTGCCTGCCTGGATGCTGGGCTTCGTTGCACAGACTTCTTTGGGTTTATTTTACCTTTGTGACTTCTCTTTTTCATTCACCAAAGAAAAGTGGCGTAGGAGACGGGTCTCACTAGCAACGAGTGAGAATCTCCTGGCTGATCCGCTTCAAAAGCGTGCTTGGTTTTGACTGATCAGCTTCAAGTGCAGTTTTTACTGATGGATGGAGAAGAGCTGTAACAAGGCAAAGAGGCGTTGCCGGAGTCTTCAGTTGCAAAAAGGGTGGATTTCTGACAGTAAACAGCAAGAGCAGTCTGTGCTCTGGTCTCTTGAGGACACAAAGTAGTCCGGTGCTCTAGGTCCCTGTGCAGATCTGCAATCCAGCACCAGAACTCAGTTCTGCAGTGGCTCACACAGCAGAGGAGTCTCTGAAGGAACAAAGTCTGTGTCTGTCAGGTGGTCTCTGGGCTGATCTAAATGATCTTTACTGGCAGTATTGCTCTTTGGGTATTTTTGCAGCAGGAGTTTGAACAGATGTCTCCTGCTCAAAAAAAAACCCCAAATTTTTCTATTTCCTGAGAAGAAAAACTGTCAGTCTGTGGCTGTACTTCTCAGTGAGGGGAGGACAGGGACACACAGACTGGCTGGTGACACCACCTTCGTGGACTGCTTAGGTACCATCTCCTCTGATTGGAGCCACTGGCTGTCTTTTTGGGTAGTATCACAGATATATCTCCTTGCCCTGTAACAGACATAGCTGGGGTTTGCCCTCTCTTACCCTGTTACCTCTTGCAGTCATGGTAGCTGTGGTGTTTATCTTGTTCTGTGTTTGAGTGCAAGATACTTCATGTATCAGG